GTACAAATGTGTAAATGCTTTGTATATGAACTGCTGCCGTTAAAAAAACAAAGTGGGAAAAGTTCAGAAACTAAAAATAAAAAACGAGAAAAAAAGCCTTCTGTGGATTCACACCACACAACCACATCACTGCTTAATTTTCCATTCGTTGTTCATGCTGCTGCATGTAAACCATCAACTACAACCAAAGAATCGTGTTTAAATGAATCGTTTACAAGATACTTATTTTTAAGTTTTGCGTAAGTTAAATCAACTCAGTGCAAACACGCAGATCATTGAAACTCTGATCAGTAAAAATCTTGTTTGATGACCACAAAGTGAATGTGATGCTGTGTCGCATGAGCCCACCAATTTCCCAGTATGTTTATTTTTAAAATGAACACTAAATGCACATTTTTCTCTTGTAAATGGTTGATGTTACTAAGGTCAAGCCCCCTTCATGACTACATGCCAGAGTAAAAAGTCAAACACAAAGTAAGGCCACATGTAGTCCTGCTATTACTACAAAAACCTTTGCTACAATTTCAGTCTTATTGTCTTATGGAAGTAAACTGAAATCATTTAACTTCCGATGCATTAAGAAGAAGAATTGTAGGCCCAAAATGTTATGGCTCTGCTGCCACCTGCTGGTGAGTTGTGAAATTCTTTTCCAATGCCCTGGTGATTATAGGAGACAAAAATGTTACTACACTATGTTTTGTATAAAGTGGAAATGTTAATTATTACTTAAATCTACATTTTACAAATATTGCATGAAATGCCATACAAATATTCATTTGTCAGTTTATCAATTTAATTGAATGACCGACATTTTTGGTTGGTGATGTAAATCCTAAAAGCTTGTGTTTGACATTTAGAGGATTTAAGGTATTTATTGTTTGTTTATTCTAAGTTCTATTAATAAAATTGTGAACATTTAAGATTTTCGTCATGACATTTGTTTCTCATTCTCCTCAAATGAAATTCAAGTGGGAAATTTTATAGTAGCTGGGTTGCCAGATGGCTTAAAATAACTGAAATTTACCGTCACCTAAATATTACTGAAATTTTTCATAATCAAAATACAGAAAATCTGTCTATTATTATATTTGGGTACTTGCAAAATTGCATTTCAATACATATTCACCTGACTACAGGTGCAGCTGAGGTTCGAAGTATAATGCCCGACCTCAAGGAAAGGTGGTCAAAGACCATTGTTCTGTTTATCCCTCCTTTTGTTCTAGTTTTGCTCTTTGCTACTGTTTTTGTCACTACTGATAACATGAGATGTGCCATTGCCAGAAGGCTTGCTGTATCTCTCAGCAGAGTCTCAAGAGGGCAGGAGGAGAGCGCTGTAGAAGTGCATCATCCCAGCCACAGGATCAGTATCTGCATCAGTATCTGCATCTTTGTGCAAGAAAAAACATCACAAACACTGCATAACAACATAAACAACATAAAATGACCTCCAGCAGATCACATGTGTACATTTTTGGCCAGCATCCATTAATATGAGCTGTGTTAATAGCCCAAAACCATGCAGTGGGTTAACACTTTTTTTTTTAATCAGGGAAAGACTGACAGCAAGCAACCTGCTAGTTACTTGCTAGTTAAATACAAAAAAAATCATGTTGCTCTATAAATGATTCCTGGGGAAAAACACACACACACACGTGAGACTTGTAACATTGTAACAACAGGCACTTTGGTGATGTGCCTCATTTTGTATAGGCCTTGATGATGTTTAAATAACGGTTTAGGGTTTTCACAGAAACGCCACAGCTATGACACGTGTAATATTTAAACATCCTTAACATGCTTATGTTGCAGACTCAATCCATTCATTTAAAACACCGTTATACACATGCAATGTATATAATGAGTCTGCTGAGCACGAGATAAAGCCTGTGAGTGCATATTTAGGCACATAGTCCCTAAATGTGCCTAAATCCAATAAAGCATGTCTACTGAACTCTACCTATTACCCAGGAAATATGCCCCCTATGTGCTCATATCTAGGCGCTGCGGGCAGACCAACATGACCAACACATCCACACAAGTCAGTAGGGCAGCCCACACCTAGATTTTGACCATTCTGTGGTATGGTGTGGGCCCACATGCCGGCATCATACCCACAGGATGCCCACAATGTAGATGTGAGGTTACCTACTGGTATCCATGTGACCCACATTTCATGCCAGTACAGTACAGGGCTGCCCACCCAGGTTCAAATGTGCAGTACCACTCACTTCACACTACATGAGTCCATAATTTCAAAGAAACAGTGGACTGCCCAATACAGGTTGCACACAGGAAACCAACCCGGAGGGCTCCGAGAGGTAACACTACTGTGGTATATTAGCAAGATAATGCTACTGAGCTTGAGTCTGGAATACTTACCTTGCAAGTATATTGTGCATTGTTGAGTTCTCTGCTCTGAGATGACCTTTTTTTCTCCTTTATTTAGCTTCTGTTGTTCTTACAATAAAAGTTGAGTGTGTCCTTTCGGAAGTAACAGCGCTATGTTTGGTGGAACTCGTGTAACAGACACACCGGTCCACTGTGTCCATTTCATGCTTTGCTTCTCCAAATCATGAAAAGTGCATGCAGCAGTTGCAGTAAGCAAAACTGTATTCTGTATTCTAGCCTTAAGTTAAGAAGGAATATTGTGTTATGGTGATATTTCTGCTCATGTACTCTTGCAGAAGGCCATATGTGATACTTCAGGTAGGGGAAAACATACTTGATTGAGGTGTTTTAGTGAGCAAAACTTAAATAAAGAATCACTTACTGCAGGTTTAACTTTTTGTTTCTAGGAGATATTCACATAGAGTGTGGAAGAAAAGACTAAAGCTCTATTTTACTTAATGTGATTATAACCGTATCACCACTGATTCTAGCTCACCTACAGTTATCTATGACTCACAATGAGGCTCGTCCAGGCTAGTTTCTAGCTTTTTAAGGGTCCTGTGTAAGATTCTGTTTTAAACCACTAGGGGGAGTTCAAACACTTTGGTAATGCATCAATTAGGTAGACATTGAGAAAAAAACCCAGCTTATATTAAGAATCTTTGAGCCAAGAAATTGAAATGTAGAGAAAATGACAAGAAAAGGTGCACAGTGAGGCACCTCTATGCCCATAAATTCAATAGATGGAGAATTTTCCTCAACGATGTTTATTTTAAATTTAGGAAACAAATATCAGGATTGCAATTCATTAAAACAGCATGTGGAGCATAATGTTTATACTGAAATATGTATGTATAAGATGTGCGCAACACTGCATCCTCCTGAGGTTGTGTTTTCCTCTGAAGACTGATATGTGGCTGTCAATAGATGTCACTCGTTGCACAACAACACAAGCCACCATGCCTCTATCATGGCAGCTTAGTTTTGTTTACAGTACTGTCTTCAGTCACCCCTCATTCGTTTTTATTTTGCTTCCATTTTGCGTGTCCTTTTAAAAGTGGTTTTGTTGTTCTCCAGGTTTTATAAAGTTTGTTTTTCTGATGTGTGGGTTTTTTTGTTTGTGCGTTTGTTTTTTCTGGTATGTGGATAACCCAGGTTTCTTCATTTATCCACAAGAAATAAAAAAACTTTGTATTGTCGGCTTTGTGTTTATTCTCAAACACTAAAAGAGAGATCAAACAGTACGCATGTTCTCATGACGGACATACAGACATAGATTTGTGTCAGTGTGTGGCTCTGTAGCCCACAGTTTACGTAGTTAAACTGTGACAGTGTAGTTCAGTTCATGTGATGGTGTGTACCCAATCACTTTCTCTGGGGCATAATTAAGTAATATCTGGATTACTTTTGAGAATTAAACAGAGTAATGCATTACTTTTTGAATAAAAACCCCATTCTAAGAATAAATGTGAAATTTTGAGATTAAAGTTGAGAATCTATTTTAAGAAAAAATTCTAAATACTGTTTTGAAAATAAAGGTGAAAACAGTTCAAGCTTCCACGTTTGTATACTCACGTTATTCAAAACAACAGTACAGAGACCATTCTTTCGTGGTTTGTAACGACATATTTTTAGCAGTTGATTCTGTGACTGCGTGCTACTCGTGCTTTCAGACTTAACAGCTGCTTTTGATCCTGTGGACCATGATATCCTCATAAGCACTCCATTAGTTCCATTAGTAAGTCCTGACGCTGCTTTTTCCAACTGAGGCCAAACACAACCTTGAAACATGAATATATGCTTTTATATACAATGTTTATCTGGTGCGAGCAAGCAAGAGCACTTTACTCCAGTGTTACCTTCCCTTCACTGGCTTCCAGTTCATTTATGAATCCATTTGTATCTTAATGGTTGTGCCCCATTTTACCTGTCTAATCCTGACAGAATATCTTCATTAAGGTGGTTAAAAGAATCCGTCTTACAAAAGAGTCTTTATCATTGTAATTTCCTTTTTCATCTACCCAGAGGAGTGGCATCAGCCTTAAATCTGCCTTTTACCGGCCCTCTCTGATGCCAGAGTATATGGTGCTCTCTGCTGACTCCTTCCTACTCTTCCATCTTGAGGATTTTCTTGAGGGGAAATCCAGAGCCACATAGTTCAGTTCTGCTTCTTCACCTTCCTGTAAATTATTAACAAAAATATAAAAAATTGAAAATAATAAATACACAAAGAGAGAAGATCGCATAGCCATTGTTTGTTTGTTTGTCCTCAGATGGCAGTCTAACATGAGATGACTTTATGTTTCAGGGTAATGGCAACTGCAAGTGTTTCAAAGCGAGTCACAAATTACCATCATGAAAACACAAAAGTACACATATTACACTAAAGTGTGACCTAATCAAACATGTCATCATTTACAATAAAGGACTTCTAGGAGGATGCGACTGATTACTGATTACATTTGACAGTTTCAGGGCAAATGTAGTTTTTTGATCTTTTCTGTCTGTACTTGTATTTCACATTGTGTGTGTGTGTGTGTGTGTGTGTGTGTACCTCGTTACTCATTTGATCCCCAGATGATTTTTCCTGTTTGACATCAGTAAAGACTTCTACTTTTCCTGTTCATAAAAAGAAAAGTTTAACAGTGAAATATTATTTATTTTAAGTGCTCGTCTGGTCAGAATCAAGAACCAATCGTTTGAGATTGTAGAAATACTTTATAGGGCCTCCATTTGCTCTCGCAGCAGCTTTAGTTGGTTGTGCTATATACATGATGATCCTATCCAGAAATCTGGATCTATTAGATTAAAATGTGTCTACTGGAACCAGTTTGAAACCACTTCTGCTTCACTATCTGCATTTGTCACTTCATCTATTAAGTAGCAGTTTGAGCTGTAGTAAAGTAGGGATATAATTATGTGCTACGAACGATAGAAAGATTGGTTTTCATGCCTCAGAAGCAACTGAAATGTGTCACTTCATGTATGATTGATGAGCATTTTGCCTCTGCCAATTTTTGTTTTTGTTTATTTCTGTATATTAATTTCTATAACAACTGTGATGGAAATGCTAAAAAAAAGTTTGTTAATTTTGTTAAAAATGACAGATCGCTTTAAGATAATAAATAATCATTTATCCAAAAATCTATTTGTCAAGTCTGTTTATAGTAAAATACAATAATTGATGAAAGGATCAATCTGAAAATCTCAATTAGTGAAGATTCTAACTCTGGAATGTAATAATAATACAATGTAACACTTTTTCTAACCAAAGTTAGCAAATATTTACCAAAAAACAAACAAAAAAAACACGTCAATAATAAATTAAACCCAAATATTAAAGACTGGGATGACAGCTTTGTTTATATCGGTATGATTCACAAGTTTTGTGAAATGAAAAAGCAAATAAATGACAAGCTCCGAGCTGTACAAACGGCAGTCTGGGGAAAAGGCGATATCATCATTACTGCCAGGTAACCAACATTTTTACAATATTTGAAGATATTCTTTTGTATAAATAATGCCTGGTATTTGTATTAGCTTTTAATGTTTTACCATGTTAATGGTTCTGCATGTAATTGACTTTTTTACTGTTATCCTCTGGCCACGTGTGAGCACATGAATCAATAGTTAATGCAACAATTTTAAGTAATATCGACCATACTGAGTACCACGCCTGTCAGCTAAGAACAGGAAACTGAGGTTATAGTTTAGTAAAAAGTAAAATAAGGAAACTTTGTATTCATATGAATTAGTAATAATTATTGATTATTAATAATTATTAATTATTGATATTAATTATATGTACACAGTATGTTATACATGTGATTAATTTACCTTCGCGGTGTTTACGAGGTTGGATTTTTTTTCTGGGGAGAATCAGTGCAATTTTCAAAAGCACAGAGCAGGTCAGCAGTGCCCCGAGCACAGTAACGAGCGGGAACTCCTCTAGAATGAGAAAACATCCCAGCAGACAATTAATGTTCTGATTATATAATAGTATAATACTGTGCATTACTCACTCAGTTAATCCACAGTAATAACATTTCATATAGATGGTTTAAATTAACTCAGTCTCCAAGGTATGCAGTATCTCAGTAAAAGATTATCATAAAAGTTAGTTTGGATGTTAATTTTTATGCATCCAGTAACAGTTTACTTACCAATGATCAAAGTATAAAAGTATTAAAGGCCTGAGATTATCTCGCACAAATCATCAGGAATCAGGAACAACTAGTACAGATAAGCAAATATTAAAATAATACTTCAAAAACATACCTATCTCCACTTCAGTTCCTTCACCAAACAGGATCTGTCCACGTGTCACCGCGGCACAGTAGTAGATCCCAGCATCAGATGAGTTTGTTACAGTTTTGGACAGACTGTAGTCACATGTCCCGTCCTCTTTATTTCTAATACTGCCGTGGTAAATGACGCCTGGATGGACGTCTGATGCACCTTTAAACCAGTGCACTTTGTCTTCATCTGGACACTGATCTGTGTCATCTTTGTTCTCAGAGAGGAGCGAACACTGCAGAGTCATCGTATCTCCCAAATGTACTGAATTCACATCTGGAGTTTGTTTTACTGTGAAAAATTTATGCTGGGTTTTAGGATCTGTAGGAATTAGAAAAAGACATGAACTTCACTGTAGTTGTTTAGGGTTCGACCTTATCAAAGACAACCAAATGAATATACTTTACCATTCACTGCCAAAATTGTGCCATTAATAAAGGTAATACTGTATTGTGATCCCGCTTGACAGAAGTATGTTGCTTCATCTTCTTTGCTTACATTTCTTATGGTAAGAGAATAGATATTATCCACTTTTGTGGCACTGAATCTTGAGTTGTTAGTTTGAAATAATATTTTGTCCCAATTTCTGCTAGCAACTGTTTGAATCATATATCCATAATTCAGCTTATACCAGTAAAACAACCCTCGTTCAAAGGCGACACATGTCAGAGTCACATTATCTCCAAGTTTAACCACAGTCACAGAGATCTGCTGAGGAACCTCATTCATTTCAGTCACAGCTAAAGAAAAGAGACAAACAGTAACAGTTAGAATGTAGAATATTACAAAGCCTAATATATATTTTGTTTTATATTTTTTTACAATGACACATCTGGCAGTGTAGAAGAAGTAAACTCACACAGTGTACTTAGAAGAATCAAAGAAGCCAGTCTGCCGATCATTGTGTTACCTCAGCCTTCTGTTGCACAACTGATGTCTACCCACTCAAAGGAAGATTTTGTGACAAGCTGATTACAGTTTGCAAAGTCGACATCACAGTGATTGGCTGACGCAAAAAAAAATGCACTTCCTGTAAAATTTACCAAACCATTTACAGTGGATCTAGATGCTAATCATCAAACAATTTTAGTTGTTTGTAATTTCAAATTTGTCATTTTAAGCACATGATGCTAAATACGGTTCACGTTTAGCACGACTCCATCAGTATATAAAAGAAAAGTCAAACAGCCTTTAGCTGTAGTTGTTTTTTATTAATCTTGTATAATTAAGGTAAACCAATAATTAACTCATACTTTAGCCTTTTTTTACACTAAAAGCTGGTGATAGAACAAACAACATTATTCAGCACAGTGCTTTTACTAACATAAATATAAAAGTAAATTTATATTATATATATATGTTGGAGGCAAATCGTGCGAAGAGAGTGAGCTGTGGAACCAAATGCAGACACAGAGGGAAATGGAGCAGAGGTGCGAACCAACAGCGAATCGTTTATTTAGCTCCTGAATGATTACAGGAACAAAACTGAACTGTGACTTGACTCGAGATATCAAACTATGATACTATACTACTGTGGCTATGACTAAGGGAGAGAGCATAAGCAGACCACCAGACAACTAACAGTAAGAGACACAAGACCTAAATACACTGGAGGGTAACTGGGAAAGTGAACACATGTGAGAAAACAGCTGCCACAACAGGCAAGTGGAAACAAAACACATAGAAATGTGGCAACAAGACCTTCAAAATAAACTGGAGCTAAACTTAAGAACTAGAATTTATAGAACAGAGAAAATTTGGAGTGCTGGAAGTACAAAACAGAAACATTACACTAGAAGTCATAACGATAAATAAACCCAGAATTAATAATAGTCATAATCAATGAGATGAGATAAACAAACACTATTTGGGGGGGTTGTTTGTTTGTTTTATGACATGACGTTGAAGGCAAGTACTCACAGCAGAAGAACATGCAGCTTTCTGAGTAATTTTCTGCAAGCTGAGAAATAATGAGGGGAAACATGAAAAGAGGCCACAACAGACACGTACTCATTGTCTTCTGCTGTAAGTATATGCTGTGTGCAGCTTAACATCCTACAGATCAGATTTCTTTAATTAGTGCTACATATTTTCCAAGTTACTGTGACCTGTTATTGACAGATTTTTTTTCCATGCATAGCTGAAATTGTGTGATTCTGACAGCAAAGCCTGGATTTTCTCTCTGTAATAGAAAAATTTTGCTTTCCTCTCACAAAGCAATACAACAGATTTCTGAGGCTTTACTTCTTGTTTCCATGCCGATCAATATACGGGTAAGAAACTGATAACTGATCTATATTTTTTGTTTCTCTGCTGTTTCATGTAAAACATGAAAAAGGGATTTATATTCCATTGCTCTTAAAATGACTTTTAATCAAAGTGTATAATTCGGATGATCCAAATTATTTGTTGCTCCAGGTGCGATTGACCCACCTGAGCAGCATCTGCGATCACGCCACGCTGGCTTAAAAGTTTAGAGTTTTTGGCTAATTTGGTTGCTATTGTGTTGAGCTGGCAGCGGGAGAGCTGTAGCTCTGTGTGTGTGTACGGCAACTGGTAAAATAAAGATGATCAAAATGCCACTGGGTCTGCCGTGTATGTTCACAGGATTATTGATACTGCTAAGTATAAGTGTATGAAAAAGTATATTATCCTCATATTACTAAATATAAAAGGTATAAAGAAAATACTATTATTTCAATCGTATGAGCAATATCGGACATTAGAAAGTTCTAAACAGCCCTGTGGGGAATTAAAGCTGCGTATTATGTGAAGACAACTGAGACCACTGCAGGCAGAGCTGGTGCAAAGTACATACTGAGCCAGAAACAAGAGTCATGGAGACATCCTGTCTCCAATACTGGCATGCAAGTGCAAAAGTATTCTAGCATCAAAGTGTGTTTTTTAAAAATGAAAGATAAAAAGATTTTGTAACAGCACAATCTGGTCGTGACCTGACCTAAGATTTCATGTCTGGAAGCAGTGATCATTAAAAGCGATCACATCGGCGGTGCACAGGCAGCTGAATCAGCAGGAGTCCTGTACTTTTTCATTTTCAAGTATTGCGGTATGTGCCAGTATCAGTGTTTGTGAAAAAACGAGCACAGCCACATGTGGACTGCAAGATGCAAGCTGTGAGTGGCTACTTCGGTGCTTCCCACACCCCAACAAGCCTGTTCACTCAGAATGCATCTGGGCATCAACAGGACATGAATCTAGTTCATAAGAACTCACCACAGGCTCTTTTTAGCTAAAGCTGTCGATAGGTCTAGACCTTCCTTCCTGAATATGGCCTCATTTTGTTTCAAGTAATGTAACGTTGTACAAAAACACTTTTTAGGCACACAACTACAACTGTTTCAAAGTTCAAAATAATTCTCCGTTGAGGGAAAGTTTTTATGATTCATGAGGTTAAATATGTTGTATTTAGATTTGTGTGATTTAATCTTACTGTCGCTTTCTCTGAATGAGGTTTACAGACCAGCACATATCTGACTTGTGTGACTGAGGAGCTAAGAAAAAAGACGTGTCAAGTATTAGAAACCACGATGAACGTTGTTTGGTTTCCTTTAAGGTGAGTGTGGGGGACTAAAAAACAATATTCAGACGTAACAACCACACAGGTGGTTAAACTGTACAACCTTTGATTTCTACACACAATTTAAGTTAAACCAAGTCAGAGATGGCAATTTAAACTTACCACAACTGTCCTTGAGGTCCTTAGACTCTTGACTTTGATAAGCAAAAAACTTGTGGAGGATAGCGCAATCACATTTCTTTCCTTGTACAAACAATGAAGGAAACCACGTTGCTACAATGGAAACTCTCATAGACCAACTTTTATTTCAGAAGTGAAATATTTCTGATATTTCTCAATTTAAGATCTATTCAAGCAGTGTGTGATTATGTTAAACTTTTTGGCATCATTGTGAGATTGTTAGATATTGATAAATAAAAAAGTGCGTTGTACAGTTCTTTCCAGGCCTTTTGATATGAGATATTACACAATATGATGTTTTGACATTTTTTTTCAAGATCAAATTTGATTTGAATTTTTATGTATCTCCAAAAGTTGATTCTGTTCATCTGGACGTAAGGTTTTCAGTGGGAGAAACGTTTCTTCACTCATCCAAGTGACTTCTTCAGTCTCAGCTGACTACAGGTCACTGTCTAATAAACAGCACATTTGCATACAGACTGAAACCAGCCCACTGAATGAACAATGGGTTGGGAGGTCAGTTCCTTCATCATAATAATGCAAACTCTCATGAACATTGATCAAAGACCACTGATCAATGGCCATGAGTAGCATTCACAGAGAGTTGACATTACAACACAGAGCAAACACCATCCCCACAGACACAGCGGACAGGGAAGCAGAAGAACATCAAATCAAGAAGCCCCTGAGTAAATGTGGTTATCCCAGATGGACTTTTGTCAAAGATGGGAAGGGGCCAAAAAAAAGCTCCAGCCGATTCAATAGAGAAGGACAACCACTGACAAAGCAAAAACCTGTAGTGATCCCGTACGTGTCAGGAGTATCGGAACAGTTGAGACACATTTTTTCTAAACACCGGGTCTCTGTGGCTTTTAAACGCCAAAAGACACTGCGCCAAAAATTGGTCCACCCCAAAGATCGTGTCCCCCAACACAAACAGAGTAACATAGTGTACGCTGTTAAGTGCAGGAGGATTGGCTGGATTTATACATCGGGGAAACCAAACAACCTCTGGTGAAGCGGATGGCACAACACAGAAGAGCCACCTCGTCAGGACTCTGCAGTCTATTTACACCTACAGGCCAGTGGACACTCTTTCAAGGATGAGGATGTAACATCCTGGACAGGGAGGAACGCTGGTTTGAGCGTGGAGTCAAGGAGGCCATTTACATGAAAAGGGAAAGACCATCTCTGAATCGAGGAGGGGGCCTAAGGGTACATCTGTCACCATCTTACAATGCTGTGATTGTAGCCATTCTCCAACTCTCTGTGAATGGTTCTGCTAACAAAGCCAGCAGGCCAACATACATCCTGAATTACCATCCGGATTTTTCTGATATTTGTTTTGATATTTGAATGAAATCTCAGTTCTGAAAAAAAAAATCAGCTGATGATCCAGTGAAGACACTCTGAGCAAACTTGACTGAACAAAGCAGAGATTTTATTGAGGACTGACTGAAAAGTGCATCAAGCAGGAGACGATTTCATGTGGATGAACAGAATATAGAGAATTTGAACAAATAAAGTCCAACATGAAAGAATCCAAATGTTTCCACTTGGCTTGAAGCACAGCTGACTCCCCGCTTACTCCACATTTTAACAGTACACTGTGGATTTTATGTATTCTAAATTCTAAAGTTCTAAATTTCTATGAGTAAATTATATAAGATAAAATAACATTTTTTAAAAGGACATATTTAGCTTTACACATTTGAGAAAATTCTTTCTCCAGCAAATTTTTCTGACAGTTTTAAATACAAATACAACAAAATAAGTTTTTCATGTTCATAGAGTCAGAATATTTTTTTTTCTTCTCTTCACTCCTCTCAAATGTTATTAGTTTATTTCAGAGCTCCTCTGGTTCTTTCATCCACTCTTCTTCTCATCTCCTCCAGTTTCTGGACTTTGTCTGTGTCTCCTTTCTCCTTCATCTTCTCAATCAGGAAGTCCAGGTGGACAGTAGTGGACTCTGAATCAATTTTCAGAGCTAGTTCATCCAGTCTGAGGAAATGTTGGTAGGACTCATCCAGTAACTGTGACTTATCTGCTGTCAGTCGGTTCATTTCCTTTTCAAGATTTTCCAAAAGGCTTTGCAAGTTCTGACTTTCGTTTTTATTTGTCTCATACTTCACTTTCATTTCTTCCATCGTCTTCTTAACTTTTTTGGTCTTGTTCACATATTTCCACTTTTCTTTCACATGTTTTGATGCAGAACACTTCCTGATACAAACAGTGCAGCTGTCATCTTTAATGACCTCACAGTGTGAAGGATACCAGGACACACTGCATCCAGGATAGTGACAGTTCTCCATACAGACTGTACAGCACAGGGCTCCCTCATAAAAAACCCCCCACATCCCACCTTTGATATCTTCTTTTTCTGTGCAGACCTCATCAACTTCAACAGTGAAGTTCTCGTTCGCATTCATGGTTTCCTTATGTTTCTTCAGACCTTCTTGAATCTGTCTGATTTCTGTCTGTTTCAGTTCAATCAGGTTGATTCTCTCTTTCAGGTTTTGGATGCTGGCTTTCAGTTTGATGCGTTTCTTCAACACTTTTTTAGTTTTCATCAGTCTTTGAGGTCCACAACTTGTAAGAAAAGTTAAAAAATCCCCCATTTGTTTCTTTGTTAAGTCCCATGACTTTATTAAAGAATTCTCATATGATTCCCTTCTCTCTTTGTTCTGTTGGTTATCAAACAGAAAGTGAACAGGCTCATTCTTCTCATTTCTGGCACATTCAATGCTTGCAGCTTCAAGCGCTATAAGAGCATTTTCAGGTGGCATTCCATCTGAGTGTGTGATCAGAGCTACGATGCTTTTCTCCACATTTTTTCCAAACAGAGAAATCACTGAGTTAAAGATATAACTCTGCCGGTCACTCAGTCGATTATCTGTCGCCTTCATCACCAGACCCACTGAATTAATTTCATGAACCCCATCCTCTGACCGAAACAAGTCCAATAATCTTTCACCAATGATGTTATCACGATCAGTCCCTCTGGTGTCTCCATATCCAGGAGTATCGATGATGGTCAGAGAGTATGGCAGAATTTGATTTTCAAAGCCAAAGATCTCGTACACGATCACATCTGATGTCTGACTTTCTGCCTGACTTCTCTTCTCTTCCTCTACGATCTGAAACCAGACCTCATCCTCCCACTTCACTCCCATGGTGTAGTTGATCAAAGTGTTGATCAGAGTGGATTTCCCCCCTCCTGTTTCACCCACGAGTAGGATGGTTTTATTTATCTTGTTAAAATCTTTTTCACCAAGAGTCATTCTTGTCAGAGTTCCAAACTTCTGTTTTTTTGGCCTCAGCTGGTAGACAGCAGGAGGTCCTGAACAGATCAGAAAGCTGTCTGATGAAATATCCTCATATGGTGGTGAGATGAGATTGATCCTGTAGGAGAAAGTACAGATTTTTCTGTTTCTTATTTTCATATGATGCACTTAATTGATCACTTACTGTAAAATGAAACTATTTTATTGCCAATTTGAGCTCATTTTTCTGTTTAAACTCTCACAACCACTCATTTGGAAATCTTATATTCTGTTATGTGTCATGTTGTGACATATGTACACATATGGAACAATGTGATTTTGCACGTGCCTTTGTATTAATTTTGTATTGTTGTCTGTATTATTGTAAGGTCTTTGTCATGTCAAAGATCTAACAGGTTAATAAACAGAGAAACAGATCCATTCCGGAACACATGCCGACTAATCACCAGTGTAGAAGATACTACAAAGAAGTGATAGCATTGTAACTAGCTCATAACTAATGGTCTCAGAAGTTAAGCTGGACCAGTGATATCATCAGAAAAATAAGAGTCCTGCCATGCTAATATTTGCCAGAAAGTCTCATTGCTGGATTAAGGTAAAGTGGCTGATACTGGCACTGAGATTTGGTATATGCTAATGGAGTGGAAGCACATACTTTACTGATTCCAGCTTCTGTAACTGGGATGTATAAGTGCCTTTAATTTAGATGAAAAACAATGAAATGAAAAATAAAATCTGATGATAGATATAAATACAGATGTGGCTTTACATGTTGGTTTTTCCTTTGGTTTCTTTGGTACAACAAACTTGAAAACCACAGGTCTAGGATCAGATTACAGCTGAGCAACAGGTGAGGGGGACACTATCAATATTATTATTTTGTCAAACTTTTAAAAGTACATGTGTTTAGTAGAGCTGGGCGATATAAGATTTTTTCATATCACGATATGTTTTTTTCATTTTAGCCTGATTTTATCTCGCTCTGAACTGGAGATTGCTATAACATGCATTTATTTCGTCACGCTTGGATTATTGTAATTCGCTGTTTATGTGTCTAGAGCTTTTGCCACTGTGGCCCCTAGACTGTGGAAGTCTCTCCCCCAAACATTAAGAACTGTGGACTCAGTCGCTGTTTATAAAAAACAACTCAAAACTCACCTTTTTAAAACTGCTTTTGGTTAATTTTTTGCCTGTTTTATTTTCTCCTTTTAAATCTTTTTTATGACTTCTAATCTCATGTGCAGCACTTTGTGATTCTGTCTTGAAAGGTGCTATATAAATAAAAATTTATTTATTTATTATTTATTTATTTATTTCAGGCGATAATGATATATATCACGATATAAGCCAAATGACTATATATGTAAGATTTAAATGTGCTGTTGCTCACAAGTAAAATGTGAAATAATGAGCAGCTTGTTTTGATTTTGATTTAAATATTTATTTCCCATAATAAGTTCAACAGGGCAGATGTACTTAAAATGAGGCTTCAGTTTAGGCAAAATAAAGGCAAATATTACAAACTATACAAAAGGTAGCCGCTAAAGCGTTTAAGTTTCAAAATAGAACAAAACGGACTACTAAATTGTCAGTTCCACTTAGAAACAAAATATTAATTCTCAAAATAAATCTTAGTTTATTTTACAGAAGAACAGACAAAATTGACTAACTTATTTAATATTGCTTTGGAAGCGCTGTCTGAGAGAAATGTTTATGTCCAGGGAGTTGGTAATGAGGATCCATTACCTTAATTAGCTGCTTGAATCCTTCATTTCCGACCGTGTTTATTGGTAGCATGTCTTTAGCAAGACAGTAAGCTATGGCATTCGTTATGTTGCTATGTCTCTTAGCTTTTTTGTCATATGGTAAGACGCTGGAGAAAGCCGACTCAATTGACTGTTGCTGCTTCGCAGGTATTCCCCTGGTTGTTTTCGATGACGAATTAGCGCTTTCAGTCAGAGATTGAGCGTGCTCTAGTGGGTGGCACTGCTTCAGGTGATAAAAAAGGTTTGTTGTATTTCCAGACTTTGTGGGAACTTGCTTTCGGCACAATTTACAGTGCGCGTTACTCTGTTTTTTGTCAGACTTCAAATAGCCGAAATACCTCCACACTACGGAACTTCTCTGGCCTTTCCTTTCGACAATCTCTCCGGCATTGGAACCATCATCTGTGTTCTCTTCGGTAACCTGGTCACCCAAACTCTCGGTTGATTTTTCTCTAGTCGGCACACTCATTTCCTCCATTACCCGGCCGGTGGCTGGCTGCTTCCCAAATAAATACAGATGTGCGGCTTGGCACTTGACCTGTACGTAACAAGTTAGGTGACGTGACGCTGCGGCTGTGATTGGTTCGGCTCTGCGCTACTTAATTTGTATTGGCTATTCATTTTTTTCATAAGCGAGGAAGAGAGAGAGAGATGAGGTCTATCACAATAGTTTCATTTTTCTATCGAGAAAAAGTTATTTTGCAATACATATTGTTATCGTTCTATTGCCCAGCTCTAGTGTTTAGTCACAAGTAGGTGCCTGGTCTTGTTGCTGAGTTGCATTAAAGACTCTGTGAAGTCACAAATAAGCTACATTTCTCTTCTATGACCTTATAATTCTCACATTTATTAATCAGGATAAACCCCTTGAGATGTGACATCTAATTTTTGAGATGAGTTCAGATATGATAGTGAATAAATCTCAGTCAACTGAGTCATCTACCTTTAACGTGGTAGTTACCTGGTAAGATGCTTGTTATTGCAGGCAGTGCACTAGATTACATGACTTCATAACTAGACCTTATTATCTGCACATCTGTTTAGCAGTTTAACATACCTGTGTTGCAGAGCTGCTCTGGTTTCTTCATCGACTTGGCTTTCAATCTCTTCCAGTTTCTGGATCTTCTCTCTCTCTTCTTTCTCCTTCATCTTTTTGATCAGAAAGTCCAAGTGTACAGAAGTGTTTACTGAATTAACATTCAGGTCCATCTGATCCAGTCTGACCACATGTTGGTAAGCTTCATCCAGTAGCTGTAACTTTTCTGTTGCCAGTTTGTTCATTTCCTTTTCCAGATTATTCAAAATGGTCACCCTAGGTTCAGTTTTATTAAATTCCGACACTCTCTTCTCAGTATTCCTTAACCTGGTCACATACCTCCACTTTTCTCTTACGTGTTCTAATGGAGGACACTTTTTGGTACAAACAGTGCAGTGACCATCTTTCATGACCTTGCAGTTTTCAGGTTTCCAGCTAAATGTGCATCCAGGATAGTGACAGTTCTCCTCACAGACTGTACAGCAGACAGCTGCTTCCAGCCCACACGTTCCACCTCTGATAGGTTCTTTATGTTTGAAGACCTCAACAACACGTGGAGTGAAGTCTTCTATCATCTTCTTCTCTTCAGGTTTCTTCAGAGCTTCTTGATTATTTTTTATTTCTCTTTGTTTTACATCAATAAACTTAATTCTGTCTTGCAGGTTTTGGATGCAGGCTGTTAGTATGATGCGTTCATTCAGATCTTCAAATGTTGTCTCCAGCTTTTGAGCTTCACTTTCTTCTAGGAAGTCTGTGAACTGACGTACTCCTCTCTCTGTAACTCTCCATGCTGTCTCCAAACCAAACTCATTTTCATCTGTTCTCTCTTTGTTCTGCTGGTTATTAAAAAGAAAATAAAGAGATTGATTCTTTTCAGTTTTAGCACATTTTATCTTCTGATGTTCGAGAGCTGTTAGAGCATTTTTAGGTGGCATTCCATCTGAGTATGTGATGAGGGCAACAATGTTTTTCTCCAGGTCTTCTCCAAACAGAGACATTAGTGATTCAAAGACAAACGTCAGTCGGTCATTCAGTTGATTATCGCTCGCCTTCATCACTAGACCCACTGCATGAACTTCATGAACTCCACCCTCTAAACGAAACAAGTCCAATAACTTTTGATTGATGACGTCATCCTTTTTGGTCCCCATGATATTTCCATATCCAGGAGTATCGATGATGGTCAGAGAGTAGGGCAGAGTTTCATCTTCAAAACCAAAGATCTCGTACACAATTACATCTGATGTTTGATTTTCTGTCTGACTTCTCTTCTTCTCCTCTACAATCTGAAACCAGACTTCATCATCCCACTTCACTCCCATGGTGTAGTTGATCAGAGCGTTAATCAGAGTAGATTTTCCTGTTCCTGTTTCACCCAAAAGTAAGATGGTTTTATTTGTCTTGTCTGTATTTTTTACTCCAATAGTCATTCTTGTCAAAGGCCCAGTCTTCTCTTTTTTTGTTCTCAGCTGGTAGACAGCAAGAGATTTTGATGAGATCACAACTCTGGAGATGATGTCCTTGTATTTAGATGAGATGTTATTCTTCCTGTAGAAAAAAATTTAAATGTCACTTACACATTTTATCTTTAAATTACTATTGATTCTAATAATTATGAAATTCTGAATTTGCAGATGGAGCAGCTCTCATTTCTAGAAATATGGACAAATTTATTAAACCCCCCAAAATATGACTATCCAGAGTTGGGACCAGGAAGCAGAGTTGCAGTCTTACACGCCTCTCTGCAGCTTCTCTCCTCCTG